ATGAAACAAGAGATTTCTCGAAACCCAACTTTTCTTTGCATAGTATATTTGTGCTCTAATTTGTAAAACATGGATTCTTACTCTGATGAGATGAGTCATAGTACAGACGAAAGCGTATCAAAGGTTCATTGGGGTTGTAAGACGGTGAGCCGAGGAATTCTAAGGTGGGACCACATCACGAATTACGTACAACCAACTTTTCATTGGAAATGGAAAGTCGTGTCACAAAAGAATTTCTTTTCGCAAAATCTTTCGCACCACTATTTTGTGGAATTAATAAATTAAACATAAATTTTAAGAAAGGGGTTGACCTCGTTGTCGCAACTTGGTATTGTCATTAGGGCGACTGCAAGACTGCAACCAACCAAATCAGTGGGATTTCAGGAAATTGGTTCGTTCGTCTGAGCAACCTCTGCCACGGAAATGACCAGGTCCAGCCTTGCAACAACAGCATACAGTGACTACAATCCGACCCGCTACTCCTTCGAAAATGGTACCATGGAAAACGACAAATGACTGGTTAATAATGCATCATACTCCCGGTCGATTAAGGTGCTAAATGGCTGACAGCTGAAATTTCTTACAACAATACAATTAAGAAAAGGGTTGACCTCGTTGTCGCTAATTGGTCTTGTTGTCAGGGCGACTATGTAGAACGCAACTAATCCTAAGTCGTCTGCCATAGTAGTTGTCATGGTTCCAAACATCTGACAGTAGACTTGGTACATTCTCAAACGATTCGCCGGTATCGAAGTTGGCATCATCAGTCAGTTTGGCCATTTTCCACGCCAAGCTACGAACTCATCAAAAGAGACAAACGAATTTAATGCCTTGACAACCGTTCTGCCACTGTCCACTGTCAGATGCTGGCTATCATGACAACTAATATGGCAGACGACTTCGGAATAGGTGCGTCAAAGACCTCGTTGCCGCACTTAACTCGTGTTGCCAAGGCGTACTCATTGAACGCACCCCAACAGGTCTTCTTTGTCATGACGATCATGATAAGTTTCTGCAGCCGGCCGTGAGCTCGGTACAGACATTTATCCGTCCTTCTGCAATAGGCTGCATCTTTAGCCCCGAATCACAATTCTTCAGAGTGACCGGTGAATGCATTCATTTTGACCGGTTTTATGAAGCTTAGAAGTGGAGATATGAAGACCAAGATGTTGTGGTTTCTGGTATGGTCGCAGTCTCCTTTCGATTTGTAAAAATAGATTGACCTCGTTGTCGCAACTTGGTCTTGTTGCCATGGTGACTCAGTAGAACTTATCCAGTCCGAAGTCGTCTGCCATACAAGTTGTCACTATTCCCAGCATCAGACTGTGGACTTGGTACATTCTCAAACGTTTCGCCGGCATCGTAGTCGGCATCATCAGTGA